GTTGAATCCGCCAAAATCGGGGGAGCGATTTTTCTCGCATCCAGATCGAGATCTGGAGCGGGAGGTAATCCAAAACGACCAGTGGAACACATTCGTCTCGATCCCGATCGCCCAGTGAAATAGGCTCGCTCCGGAAAAGTCGATCCCGGCGCGCGTTAAAAGAATTCGCCACGAGAAAAGTCGCTCCCACGATTTCGGCAGATTTAACCGGAAGCCAGCCGGGCCAGCCCTCGGCGCACACACGTGACTTCTTTTCTCGTGGGGCATCTCGCCTCAGAAGAAGAAGAAGCACGTCGCTGGCTGGGCTCCTAAATTGTCTCGACATCAGAAGAATTCGTAATGGCCGCTTGCTTACCCATTGGCTCGACAGCCGGTTCGTTTTCCAGGAAGGAGAAGAGAAGGTATTTGCCGCGCTACGGGCATTCCGGCAATCTTTGCTAGAAGCGCCTGAGCCATTCCTGCCACTCGTGCGTCGAACACGTGTTAGCGCCGCGTAGCGAAAACGTCTTCGAAACGACCGCGGCGGCCGCGAAAAGGTGATTGCCGGGCAGTTGAATGACGGGAAGGCATCCGCCGATCCCGGAGCAGTGGTCATGTTCCACTGGGGATCCGTAGGCGGCGCGACCCCGTTCGGATCTTGTGCTCCAATCCGGATCTGGTCGACTGATCCCGGCGCGCTCCAAAACGCCCAGTGGAATTCGCCATAATACTCATAGATTACGAACGCGCTCGTCGTGACTTGTCCCGACACTGCCCATGTACACCTTTGGCGTATAGAAAAAAGTAACTTTTCACCAGAAAGAGCAGCTGTGCTAGAAACAATGGAAACGCGAAATTTACACAAACCATGCAGGGTCTCACCTGTGAGCACAGCTCTAGTTTCGTCAGGGTCAACCACCTATGTTTGTTCATGTCAGCGAGCAGGTGGCCGAACCTCTCGTTGATGTGACCCACGATGAGGTTCACAGAACTGAAGAACACCGACAAGTTCCGTCCAAACGCTCATCCAAGTACGAACAGACGGTTGGGATAGGCCAGTCGAGGAAGAACCATGCAAAGCGTCTCGCCAGATTGGCAACACCCTGCGCCGATCTGTCGGGTGCTGGTATTTGGAGGCCCGCATGCAGAACAGCCAGATCCTTCTTTAAGCTGGATAGCTTCCTAAAGGGTTTCTTTTCTACGTTGGAAATATCCAGCAAACCGCGTTCGGAAAGGAAGCTTCGGCGCTTGATGGCACGAGAGATACGAATCATAGATTCGATGTCTCGCCAGCTTAATCTCGTTAGTAGAAGTCTCCTTCCTTGAGAACAGCGGGGACTCATCGTGCAGATGCCTTGCTAGCCTTGAGCAACACTGTACTCGTACAACGCAAAAGGATGTACTCGCAATGCGCAAACTTCGTTCTTTTCTCTTATTTTTCTACTTCGATTAAGTAAATCTGTTTCAGTTTTAATTCGAGTGGAGCAGAAGCTACAAGAGCGAGTGCCGGCCTTTCAGCGTCCTTGACCAGCACGCGCGCTCGTGCAGTGCAAGTACCGTTTAGAGCAACATGCTCAACCTTTGGCTTCACTCGCACACAAGGTGGAACGATTATATTTATATTTTATAGCTTAATATTTCTTCAGGTGTGTGCCTACTCTTTTGTGTTCATTATTTTCGCCTTCGTTTTTACTACCTCTACAAACAAGTTCCCTTTGACTCTCTTGGTGTTAACGTTTAGGTTTTTTTTGTCTTACTAGTACTATAAACGTCCACTTGTGGGGCTACGCAAGCAAATTTTTCGAACCCGCTTAAAACGCTCTTACGCTGAAGAAAAACGCTCTACTAAAACACGTTTTTGGACCTCCGCTTTCCATTCCGGCGAAGCGGGCCGCGCATGCGCAGTTTAGCACCCTCAGAGCGGAGCGGAAGATGAAAACGGTCTACTAAAACTCTCTACTGTTTCTTGAAATATGGCGCGTATGCATACCTCTAGCGTGAAAACAGTAAAACGTTAGATCGTTAAAAAAAAAAAAAAAAAAGTGACGCAAAAGGAGCGTGCGCTACTTCTTATCGGTAACGGTAACGCGTTCCTTTTATTTTGACGTAATATGTGCCGTTAACGCGTTCGTTTAATTTGCAAGTAACGAATAAAGTATTTCGCTAGCTTTTTTTTCGGTAGCGCCTAGAACACTGGTTCTATCTCGGTAGCTTCATTCCCGTAGAAATACGGAAGCTCCCGATGGCTGCCGGTTTCCCCGTTTGGCGTGTTTAAGATGAATGCCATAATCTAAAGAACGCGCCTGTGCGCCGACACGGACACGCTCACGCACACGCACATACGCGCACACAAAAACGTGCGCGCGCTAGAATGCGAGATGGAAGAAAGACGACTATACTTCGTCTCACCCTTAGCATGGACTAATTGCGAAAGCTGTGCAAGCGCGAGCGGCTAGCCTTGACAACCTTGACTGAAGCACTCGCTGCACGAGCGCTTGTGCAGCCAAGTCCATGCTAAAGTGATACGAAGTATAATCTCCGCTTCACCCCGCGCTAAACCTCAGTGGACGCTACGATTACGAAGCCACCCTAGCCAGCCCAGCTCTGTGAACGTAACATGTGACTACGCGCCCTGCCCGTCGCTCAGCGTAGCCTTCACGATGGTCACGTGACAGGCACTGGATTGGCTTCGATAGATCGTTACGTCCTGTGCGGAGAGAGAGAGAGAGATTGTATTGGCAAACCTCCCACTCGTAATATACGTTTCCTAATCGGCTCCTCGATTAGATACTTGAGACGCGCATTACCACATTTCTTTGTCTCTGAGAAGAATGTATCGCAGAGTTTGCCAACGGAGAAACCGCGCGCAGTCTGGAGACTAAGGTCTTCTTTGCTGCCTATTATTAGGTGACTTACGAGAGCGCTAATATGATTCTTTTTTTTCTTGTTACTTCGCGCATTAGTGTCGCGCCATCACTTTAAAATGGAAGAATATTTCACTATAGGTAATCTACGCAGAGTAATTGGGCAACTTTTACATTAAATGTAGGAGAGTTTGAGGTTCTTGGATATTGTTCTAGTGACGATAGACGTCGACAAAAAAGTTTGCCAAAAGGTATGTTTGGGCTAGTCGGTTGATGAGCATCTTGGCTATCCCAAGATGCTCACCAACCAAGGAGAAACCAAAGATAAAAGTGGTCCTTGATCTTTCCCTTTTATCCTCTTTTTTTTTTTTTTTTTTTGCGCGTTCATTTAAATAATATTTTTTCGTAATTGGACCGCAGTGAATACCTTCCCGCTTAATTCAAACGTCAAATGTGTTGCACGGAGTTTAGACAGTGGGAAGGTCTAGTCCTCCTTAAAATGAAATCAGGCGTCTCCAATACTCTATCGTAAATGGGTAATTTAGTCGGTGAAGTATACGTGGCCGACAAAATTATCGCAGAATTGTTGTGTGGACATCTCGCTTCGTAACAGTGTTGGCTGTAACGCGTTACAGGTAACGGCGTTGTATGTACAGCGTAACTTTTTATTAACGTAGTAACGTACTTGTTGCGTTTTTCGAAACTTTAGGGAGTTGTAGTAGATCGTTTTTCTCCTCCGCTATGGTATCCGTAACGAAAACGCCGCAGCTGCCCATGCATGCGCGCCGCCAGCCTTGTCTGCATAGTTCAAGGTCTTGTGGCGAATTACGGAGCGCTATACGGGCGCTTAGCGGGCTGCAAAAACTGTCTACTAAAACTCCCTAGCAGTGGATAGCGTACTTACGTTACTTATTTCGGGTGACGTGGTTACGTTGCATGGTTACACCTTCCCAAAACTTCAAAGAAATTACTCTTCAATTTTTTTTCGTGTTTCTAGGCGCGTTTCTTCTCCTGAATACTCAGCCGGAACCACAGAAAAGATAACGAAATTACGTGAAGTTTCTGCACGTACACTTGTGGGCGATATGAAGATGAACAGCCCTCTTCTTTTTTTCTTTTTTTTTTGACGCTCCTGCAAGTTTTGGAACAAGCTCTGTTCCAGAAGAGGGCTAGAGCGCAAAGTTTAGACCCCAAGCCACGTACCATTTGAGACGTTGAGAGTTAATATAGCTTTAGGGAGCCGTAAAACAGGCAAGAAACCAGGTAAGGTAACCTTCATATTGCCGGTGGGTGTACCTAATGTTTCTTGAGATATTGCGCTTATGCATACCTGTTACCTCAAAACAGTAAAACTTTTTTTTTTTCAATTTTAGAAGAAAATCAGAAACGGAGAAGTCGCCTGCGTTACTACAACAGTGCCCCGTAGATAGTAGATACTAGGCTGTGCACAGCTTCCACCAGTGCCCGCTGACGATAACAGATTCTGAGGTTTAAAAAGCAGCATATGCTTCTATAGTTTTACGTATTGTTATGTCTTACAAAAACTATTCTCTGACTCCCGAGCTCGGAACTTCAAACTCTTTTTCCGCAGAAAGACACGTACGAAGCAAATTTTGTAAAGTTTTTGTAAGTAAAAAAAAAAAAAAAAAAGGAACGAGAGGCTTTTTGTAGAGTCAGTCGTGAGTACGTCTAGAACATAGTTAACGTCCTCACTTCTGATGTATTGTGCCTTCTAATTAGCCTTGCTGGAAGGTTTGAGGGCATTGACCTTAAACCTCACAGTAAGCCGAGGAAACTTGTAAGCGCATACATAGCCGGACACGAAGAAGGGGAAACGGACAAATGTTTATGTTTGAAGGCCCATGTAAGAACATACACATGACTGTCTTGTCGTACGTTTTTCCTTTTGTTCTTGCAATTTAGTGTATATTGAGGAGACGCTGAGGACGTGTTTTGTCGTTCTATCTAATAGAGATGCGGGGAGATCATAGATAAGTTTTGTCTGAAGTCTCGGTCAAGAGCCGTAGTCATGGTTGTCTCGCCTCTTTTTTCCAATGCGATCTACAAACGTGTTTCACTTGACGTTACCTGTATGCAGGAGAACCTGAAAACTGAAGCTGAGCGTTACCTTCTAATGTTCTTCTTTGCCCTCCGCAGCTCAAGCATGCGTCTACGCCTACCTGGCAGTGATTGGGCGCCAAAACGGAATCAGCGCAGCCAACATAGCCGTCATCTTCGGCTTCACGCCCCTGGCCGCTGTCCTCTTCAAGCCCGTGTGCGGCTACATCATCGACCGGACGCAGAATGCCACTGGGGTCATACTCGCCCTGCAGTTTTTCCTCATCGTGTCCCACGCCGTGGTCTTCTTCAGCCCCGCTCTCGTCGTCCAGATGTCGGCCTCCAGGGGGCTCTTGAACTGTCCCGAGGGGACGTTCGTGCTCCAAGACCGACGTGTACTCGACTCGTGTCTGGCGTCTTTTCCAACCGCGAGTGCGCCCTTACAGTGCAACTTGACGTTTCCGACGGACCACGCGACCAGTGTCGACGTGAACGCGGTGTCGGGCACAAGCGTCACTTTTCAGAACGCCACAGGGGTGTGTCAGGCACTCGACGTGGTTTCCAAAGTCGCCAAGGGCAACCAGAGCTCCAACTGCACGCTTAGCTGTCCCTGTGACGCCGATAACGCGGCACAAGGGAGTTTCTGGTTCTATACCGTGTCCGTGGTGATTGCGTGGACGCTCACGGCCACGCTCTTCACGGTCACGGACGCGGCAGTGTGCGAAGTGCTGGCCGAGAACGTGAACGCTTTCGGAAGGCAGCGACTCTGGGGAACGATCAGCTGGGGCGTCACCAGTCCGCTGGTCGGCTTTTTCATCGACCAAGCCAGCACGGTCGGCCACACGGACTACACACCCGGCTTCTACGTGTTCGCCGCGTTCATTCTGCTGGACATGGCTCTGATCGCCTACATGCCGCGTCTGCGGACGGCCGACTTGTCCGTCAACTTCTTCCGGGACATTACGAAGCTCTTCTGCAGCGTCGAGGTGGTGACGTTCACCTTCTGGACCTTCATCGTCGGTGCCCTGATAGGTGTCATCTGGTCCTTCGGCACCTGGTTCCTGGAGGACCTGGGCGCCTCCAAGCTCCTCATTGGCCTCACGGCCACGGTTATGAGTCTGGGCATCGAGTTGCCGCTGTTTTTTGTTTCCAGGAACATTCTGGAGCGCATCGGCTACTTCTTCTCGTACTCCATCACGTTCGTGTGTTTCGCCATCAAGTTCATCGGCTATTCCTTTGTGCAGAACGCGTGGTACGTGCTCATCATCGACATCGCGGGCGGAGCCATTTTCCCGCTGGCTTATTCGGCGATGACGGTGTTTGCCAAGAGCGTTGCCACGCCGGGAACGTCGGCGTCCATGCTGTGCATCTTGGGCGCCTCTTTCGAAGGACTCGGTAAGTGAATTCTTTCGTGCTTCCAGAGACAAAGAACTAAATACTATTACAGGCTTCGCTCGGAGAGTAGCGAAGTACCTTTATCATTACTGAATTTTCAAAGGAATTTCCACGTTACTTTAAACTAATGTTGTCTTGCCCTACTTCGTTTTGATCCTTGTTTTCTATGAATCAACTAGCCCAATTAACCACTTTGCTAATTGTAACGCGTTTCTCTCCCTGTTATAAATACATATTTTGGGCGAAAGTATGCTTAAGAAACTTTCATTAATGCTCAGCCTTCCTAGGCGTACACGCATGAGAAAAATATGCTTATAGATGAACACATGTTGTATACCTTGTTTTAAAGACCCTTGACCCTTTGCGGGTAAGACAGATCACCCTCCCCGCTTATTATGCGGCTCTCACTGCTGTCTGCACGTCAAGAATAATATCTCTTTTGAAAGCGACAGGGAAGGTCTGAAATGCAGCTACCCACAGGACAGTCGCTTACTGAAGTCACTGTGATGGCGACCTTTTGTGAAGGGTTACGATGTCGCGTACTTTGTGTTCTTTCTTCATGTCTTTGCTAGCTTCCATCGACGTTGCACAGTGGTCCGCGTTCTTGCCCGTGTTTCAAATGTCTTAATGCCGGTATATATGCTCAGCGTTTGCAAACACATTTTAGGCTGCCTATATCAGTATGTATGTATCAAAACCGTGCGCAAGCGTTTTGTCTCTACTCGACCCTTTAAGCCGCGTACCTAGTATATACTCTCTTGCTACGAACCCCCTTCCTGCACCGACCAGGATTTGGTTGTCGTTCATACATGTTCGTGTGCATCTCGCGTTCCGGCGGTTTTACCTCGCGTTTGCCATTTTGCAAGAAGTACTGCGTACTCGTTCGTTCTCCTCTTTCTTTTTCTTCCCCGGTGGTTCCTGAGGCTGTTCTTGACAACAAGCACGACTTGGAAAGAGTGAAGTCCGTGCGCAGAAAACAAAACAAAATGCGTAACTCAGTATTTTTGTTCTCAAACGTCGTGCTCGAAAGCACACCAAAACATGAAAACGCACGCGTATGTGACGAATCAAGAGTCCACATACGCATGCGTGTGTATAGACGTTGAGTTGGAAGAACAAAAAAGCATCAGAGTGATAACTGTTTCTTCATGGCTCAGCACATCTATTTGAAGGCTTGTGCGCTCTTCAGTCAGCTGTGTCTATAAAGTGACTGCGACAGGCGTTCTTGTCGACTGGAATTGTGGTGAGCTTGCAGTTCTTTGAAGCGGCTTTGTTTCTGTCACCAGGGGTCGCGGCGGGCAATCTGCTGGGAGGCATGAGCTTCGACCAGATCGGCGGACGCCTGACCTTCCGCTACCTGGGCTACGCGTCGGTGGCCTGCAGCGTCTGCTGCACGGCCACTTACCTGGCCATCCGGGGACGGAACGCGGGGCGTCACGGTGAGCCGTCGAAGATGCTATTTTTGTTAAGAAACGCGGCAGACTTGCTTTGAGACGGGCTTAAAGAGCCAATAAAAAGAAAAAAGAAATGCTTTTTTTTTTAATCTTTTTTTTCAGTTTGGGGGGCACACGCGTGTAAAAAAATGAATTTTACGCGAAGAAATTTTTCTTCAAGAAATATTGATGGCGCAAGTTTTCTTTCTTTTTTTTTTCTTTTTTTTTTTTTTTGCTTCTGAATTATGCGCGCAAAGTTCATGACGTCACGGAATTGTCACTCTTTAAAACTCAACGAGGTGGCCACAGCTTCGCGGCTTCGCATTGCCACAGCTTCTCTCCTCCACGCGCCCGAAATGCCGAGAGAGAAGACAAGTGGAAAGGAGGTGACTACCGACTAAATTGCGTCTCGCGCCGTCAATGTTGCTCTAATAAAAAGTTTTTTTTTTGGCGTAAAATTTAATTTTTGACGCGCCTGTCCCAACTAGAACAAAGCAAATATATGTATATATATATATATATATATATATATATTTAGTTATTGGTTGGTTTTAATATTTAGAGAAGTTGAAGGAAAGGAAAGTAGTGCAAATGTGTATTTTACAGCGTCTTTATTCAGCGGATAGTTTGTTTCATTTAAGGTGAGAGCACAATCGAAGGCTGGAACACATAGAACTACGAACACTTACCAAAATCGCCAGTCACGGGACATTCGCTGCGCTTACTTGGTTTAGCCAATGAAAGGAAGCGTATAGAAAGATGGCGACTATTCGAGATATCGCCTTTTTGATGCTGTTTGATTGGTCCCATTAGCTCCTAGCGTCGGCTGTGCTTTGACTTAAGGCACGAAGTGATTGCTCAGCAACCGCGCTGGCCCCTTCATGGTCTGAATGTCCATACGATGTCGGCGATGTCAGGAGCTCAAAATCACGAGAAAAGTTTGCGAAAATAATGGGATGGCAGCTGCTGTAATCAGACAGAACCAGGGCCTTTTACTCCTCATGAGATCACTTGATTATCGTGTCTGCTTCATCCCTCCATGCCGTGACTACCACTATGCGGATGTTCAGTTGCACCACTTTTGCACCGGAGTGCAAGGAGCAGCGGCTGCCAAGGGGAGCGTCTGGGTTAGCGTGATTGCCTCGGAAATTATACCCAGCACTGTTACACGTCGACCTTTATTCCTCTTGACTGTGTGTGGACTTCTAATTTTCAAAAGTTCTGCTGAGAAGGGGACGAAATCGCTGGTCTATATTTGAAGAAACCCGGCAATCAAGGTTGTTCCCGTGGGGCAGTCGGATCAAAAGGGCAGAGAACTTTGACTCGACTCTGGCTCCAACGCCGCCAACACGCAGTCCTACTTTTAAAACTCAACTAGAGGCTTTCATTATATTTGTGCATGGTTGGTTTTTCAGTGTATGATGCTAGAATGTCGAATTTGGTAAGTTAATGAAACTTGGGGGAAAATTTTTTAATCAATGTTTTAGCGGATACGTTGGTTTTTGCTAGCAGTTTGCAGAAATATTACTCACAGAATACACTAACTACCCAGTGTAAGAGAGGAACGAAGAGGGAGGCTTTATCTCAACTAAATTGTTGCGTTATGCTTTATTTAAAACAAAAACCGATTATAAGTGGGACTTGCTCTGACCTGAGCCTTACCTCTGAAAAGAGAGCTGTTTGTTTCTTTTGGTGTCCTATCTATTCATATAACCAAATATAATAAGTAATATGTTTTACCATCAAAAAGGAACCCTCGATCATTATCAAATATGAAATCATTTAGCGCTGCAGCCACGTTTTCCTTCTCAAGTGATGTGCTTACGGATACATCTGTGAGCGGATCACTTGAGAACGAAAAAGTGATTGCAGAGAACACCCCCTTCAAAGGCATCAGTGGTTGCCCCAAACCAATAATTTGTCCGCTACAAAAGGTCAAATGCCGCTTCCATCGCGGCTTTCGCTCAAACAGTGTGGGCGGAACGCGAAACTTGGCTCCCATTCTGTAAACTCCACGACAAATCCAGAGGTATAATAGAAGCTTGTGGGGATTGCAGACTCAGAAAAAAGGTCCGATTAGGCGATGCAGTTCGTGTGATGCGCGGAGGTACAAGAATAAAGGGGTGTTGCGACAGGCCGGATTCACGTGAGAGGCTGTGAAAAGCTGCGCGTTTCATAATAAAACAGTGGCATCACTGTTGTTGATTTGCGCGTACGAGCCGTTAAGAATGTCGTAACGGGGCGATTTTAAGCCGCGATCACATAGCTAATACATCGTACAAGAGACAGTTTGTTGACATGGTCTCAGGCGCGTTTCTTTCTTGATGGCCCATTGGTCGTTCAAAAACTGTGTGCGGACACGTTCGAAGCAAGCATATGTGTGAAGTGCACAAGATTCGAACAAGTTTACGGCTTGTCCGCAGGTAATAGGGAGTTTTAGCGAACCGGTTTTGGCCCATCCGGTACGATGCGAAAGGGCCTTCCGGTACGCACTGCGCATGCGCTGTCACAGAAGACTCGCGCATGCGCAGTTCGTACTGGAGGGCCCATTCTACCGCATCGGATCTGCAAGAAACGGTTCCCTGAAACTCGCTAATTTTGGTATAGTGTTTGCAGACCGAGTCTTTTCTATGACGTACGAGCGGCGTGACTATACTCCTTTGGGAAACCATCTTGCGCAAACTCGGTGGAGTTTAAAAATGGATGATTTAGGCGGTTGTATGAAAGGTTCCCTTTGTTCGCGTGGATGCTTGCGTCCTAGCGCTGAACATGGTATCGACCCCAACTTGAGCTGTACTTTTAACCCAGATTCCGTGTCACCTTGTGCAGGTTCAGAAACTCCGGTGCTCAAGACTCCTGCCGAGACGTCGGTGAACGGGACATTCAACGAAGCATCGAGAATCAACTGGGGCGAGCATAGCCGCCTCTAGTGCACCGCCACTTTGCGGAATCCCAAAGACATACGCGTGACAATCGTTGTGCATCCTGTTCGTCCATTCATCATCGTGTATAGTTGGTTGTGGCCAACCGTAGTTGAAAAAGTCGTGTCAGTGAAATAGTCTACTGAGCGTTTGCTCTGCGACCACCCTGTCTGAAGGCGCTTCGCTCGCGACACGCATCGAATACAGGGTACTCTTATACGTCTATACTTCGAAATTCGGGCACAACAGAAAAGTTGAACCCCCCCCCCCCCCCCCCCCCCCCCCGCTCAAAAAAAATTTAAACTTTAAATTTACCATTTCGGTTCGGTTCTCGGTTCGGCGACATCTCAGTACTTTATGATGCTGTTCACACGTAAATTTTAACGTCTCAGTGTTACCGGTATTTTTTTTTTTCTTTCGTGTCCTGAAAGCATTTGTGAAATCAACTTCGGTCATGCTAAAATTTTGAAACCTAATTAAGACTCTTTGCAGTCATTCAGAATGAAAGTTTGTGACCTGAGATCCTTATCAAGTTACCACAATGTGTGTCTGCAGGCTTCACAGGTTTAAGATTGATATTGTTGTACTTAGAATCGTGTGACTCGTAGCAAATTTCCCGCAAGCAGTCAACGGTTCCCGCAAGCAGTCAACGGTTTCTGTGTGTTTATCCGACAAACTCATTCATGTCCCACGTATTTTTGTCTAGATAATGATAAATTAATTTGACTTAAATTATGAGTGTTCTCGATGGAGGTGAATTCGAGATGTGTTTGCGTCCTTGTTGACCTTTTAGTACTTATTATTTGAGTGAACGAATCTCATCGTTCCTTGTTATGTTCGTTGTCGATATTTTTTCTTCAATACGCTGAAGCCTAGTTCCAACTGGGAATACTCTCTGCGTTTTCAGTGAATTGTGTTTTTTAACATTGTTGAATGAACACATTCCTTGATAGTTTATTTGCGACGTCAATGTGAAATTGTTTTCTTCTCGTGTATGGAAGCAGCTATAAGTTGTACTTTCGAGATTATTGTGGCAAGGGCCGAAGTAATCAGTATATCGAAATTTGTCCAGCAAATAACTTTCAAAATTCGTTTTTTTTTTTTTTTGTGCGCCGTTGTTACAAGACGGCGTTTTACTTTTACTTCGTTTTAAATAGGATTTTTTTTTAGGTATTTAATATAGTTCAATTTAAGAAATTGTAGATTTGGTTCTACCATGTCAATAAAAATATTCAGGTATTCCTCGTAGTATTTTTGGGAATTAGAAAAAAAAGTTCATGCAACCCAGTGGGCATTTCTTGGTTGCCTTAAGCCATTGCGAACGAAGGTAGGTAGTTCTTTGTTATCATCAAAACTGTGCGCTCTACAAGCTCCAAATTATTAAAAATTAAATAAAAAAAAAATATAAAAAGTATGGAATGGAGATATAAAGTTTTCGAGCGATGAGCCCGATGGGTGCACAAACGTACGTTGCCTGGAACGCGTCTCCGTTCCTCGATTGCCGCCTGGTGACGTCATATAGAAGTGTCATGCTGTCGCCGGTTGCGATCCTGGCGGTGTCCCAGCAGCGGTGGTGTACGTGTGGCAGACGCCTGTTCAGCTGCTGGTCGCTTTCCAGTGTGGCAGTCCACGGAAGCTTGAGCAGCCAGAAGTTGCGACGACAGCGACACTCGCGTTCGCTCGTGCTTTTCGCCAGTATTTCTACGACCAACCGCCAGGATCGCGACATCCGACAGCGTGACACTCCGGCTTCTGTGACGTCATTTGTTGCCACTTCGGGACCTTGATGTGTGGGCAGCATAGGACGCTTAACACACCAGTCGGAGACGCTCTCTAGGCACATTGGGTAACATCGGCGGTACCCCATATTTTGGACGCAGCTTCCAGCGCAGGGCGTGCGTCTGGACGCGCGTCTACTTCCATCGCTTACGGAGTACTCGCGTCCAATTAATTTATTTTGGCCGGTTTAAACCTGTTATGCCATTTGGCGGTGCAGGCTGAGAGCTACAAGTTTATTTATTTTATTTCTTGCTCTGAATTAAACGTTGTCCAATGCATACCTGGAGTTCATGTCCCTAACAGGCCTTGAATGACGGGCGGAGCAGCTTTTAGGTAGCACGTACCTTTAAGAGAAGCTAAAGTAACTCTGTATGCTCCGGTTGCAAAACAGAGTAATGCAACGGTCTCAACATTTTGACTCGGCATTGCAAGAGAAGCGATGGGCAAAGCGAAACGTCTGGCCTATCCCAAACCCTGCGCTCCTCAAGGCGGCTTCCCCGCAAGCGCGAAAGTCATATTTGGCGCAAATGCTCCCTTCTCCACCAATGAGGAGTTGGCGGCGAAAGGAAAAAGGACGGCGGTACTTTGGCTACTTTGCGGGCGAGAAAGGTGAGTCGACCTGTTACAAAACGTGGACTGCCATCCGCGGTGCCGAAATGAATGCCGGGAACTGTAGGTACAGAACCGGTTGTCGCAGACGGCGGATGTGACTGAGGAAACTCGGGCGAACCGGCGAAAGCAGGCGAGTAACTGCGCTACTCCCTCTCTGCCACGGGGGCTTGAAGGAGCGTGCAGGACTTCGCGCACGGCCTTTTGGGATTTTTTTGCAAAACGGTCTATTGATGACACTATAAGGAAGGGTCAGCGCTTCGCCGTTTCAAACCAGTCTTGCTGCTCAGTATTCGATTCGACATTCAACTTAATGGCCACCGTTCGGCATGATTCGGATCCGATTTGTGCTGAAATTTCGCTATTAGCACGCCTCTAACTTTATTACTTGCGTCTTGAAGTGCGTAAACATTGCCGTGTTGATGTTAATGTAATAGACCGGATAGGTGGGAGCAGCCGTATTTAAGCTCTACCTGATCCCAAGCAAGCCAACCGAATATATCGATACGAACGACAAACACACCCGCTACTGGTCTTGGTCGTCTGCGTCGCCGCCCACCGTAGACCCTGGCAAGTGTCTTGGCCCAATTTTTTTACAGAAAGAGCTAATACGCTTTATAATTTTACAAGAAAAAACGACCTGTGAAATACACCTTTGACGAAAAGTTTAGATTGCTACGTGCTGGTGTCGAGTTTTACGGTCCATTTTAGATCGAGCCTGGTGACTTGGGTCACCCTAAATTTCTCCAAGGGGTGCGGTACCGTCGGTACCGAGAAGCATTCCGATGGCAAATCGAAACTTAAAATCCCGTTCATGTTGTACGGTTTGTCATAGGGAGTTCGTTTCACGGCACTCGTGTCCACGCGAGCCCACTCTCAGCGTGGAGCGGGTTCGTTTCGGCCGGCACTCCACAAGTGGTTGCACTATCCGAGTTCGTTTCAGCGGCGGCACCCCACGCGTGCATGCACTCCCTGAACCGAGAAAATCGAGCATGCGCCACATTGCAATCCCGTCATGCCTCGCTCCGGCGAGAAGTGGGAGCAGACGACGAGGGTTCGCCTGCTACGATGTGTCGTTCGTACAGCGGAACCGAAAGGAAAAAAAGTTGATTTTCTGATACAAATTGTGTCCCGCGGGCAACGAAATCAAACGTGAGCTTGAATTGTGAGTGTCGGCTAATTCATGAAGGAAGCAATTGACAACCCGTGCTTTTTATACAAGTTTTTAGTCGCCCTGTTGCCGTACAGACGCTGAAATATAACGGTGTGTAAAGAGATGCTCCGGACAAACGCATCAGCCGCCCCCGATATCTTTATGACCATCCGTGTGCGGGTGAAAAATTGAACATTTGTCGACGAAGCCATCCCACCAGAAACTTCTGACTGCCCAATAAGCACCCGAAAAAGCTAAACATAGTAACTTTACTTTAGGCTTGGGCAACATCATCTTGTTTAACATTTACATGCGTCAGCTATCTTGCCCCGTCGCATTTTGTTTGAGAAAGCTCTCGTTCTCGACGCCCTCACCAAGGCTAAAATCTGATCGACCTGTAACGACGATCGAAAGCGAATGCCCCACCAAACGTTTTGCTGCATATTCCAACATACTAGTTTGAAGCCGGGGCCTTTCAGTGGTTCGCACATAATATCATGCTCAAACGGATAAAGCTTCTGCGCCGACAGCATCGTCAGTTTTCTCCGGTATACAAACGGTTTTAAGAATTGAAAGATCGCAACCAGCTGCTTTGTAGTCAGCTGGTTGTGGAAATTTACGCCGTCTGTAAATATCTTTACGACAGCCGAGTTGCTTGAAGTCATTGCATATATAAACTACAAGTTTAGGCAACTAACGTTTATATATAAGCGTTGGCAGCGAATGCACTTTCGCATTCCCACCCATCAATCACGTCAAACAGGAAGGCGCTAGTTTCGTTTTGAAGTCGGTACTCTTTCTACAACACAGATGGCGACAGCATCAATCTTCTGCACTCGGTGCATTTGGCAAGTTTGAGGCCAGTTTTCCGTGCGAGGCTCCGCGAGTGCGAATCATTCTGGGAGAGAACTCGAACGGTGCCAGTGCGTGTGAAACGAACTCGCTATCCGAAAGCTGTAAAATGCACCGCGTGCCTTCTATCACACTCCAACTATTTTATTTAGTGTTTTTCGATGATGCTGAACAAGTTTCCTTATGAAACCACGCCCTTCAACTCATTATTAAAAAAAAAAAAAAGAATTACGCGCACCATAATTAGCAACTTAACTATCCTGAACTTTAATAATTTTCCTAAATAGGCCCCTGACCCAACAACAAAACGACACAAGCCTTTTTTTGGTGCGATGCATAGTTTTCGCAATATCGAGTTTGTCCACCTTACGTGAAACATCATGTATACATAATTTGTTTTTCTTTTTTTTTTTTCATTATCATGCTTAGCTCAAACAACCATACAGGTTATAATTTTGTTTCTTGGTAATTGAGTATTTATCGGTTTAATCATCTGGAATAGCACGCAACCACGAATGGTACAAATTAAAGGATGTCACCCCCCCCCCCCCCCCCCCCCCCCCCCTTTCATATGAATAGACACAGAAACATTTCGAAATACGACATCGATAGCCAGAAACCCAACTCAACTTGCCTAGCAAGTCTTTGAGGCTTTAGTCGTCCAATTAACGCCGTGAGCGGGCCCTAAACCGTTGGTCCGGGGTCCCGGGACGGAAGCGACAATCGCGAAGAAAGACAAACCCTGCCATATAAGCGAGGGCTGCTGATAACAGGCCTAAGATTGCTTCCCCACTTTGGTCGCCTGACCAAGTCGCTGCCAGATCCGGAGACGTCCTCGCCAATCCAGCAGGCTGGAGGTAAGTTCAGAGCGCCAGGCCGGCGTTTCTTGCTCACTAATGATTCATGCTACTTCGCGACATATCTACATCTTTAGTTTATTCTTGACGAGACGTACAGTTTCTGTCAATATCAGATGGCCCAGATGACACCAGACTGGCCGAAAAGGGGAAAAAATGCCGCGTGCGGTGCCTCCGGAACGCTAAGCTATAAAATTGACCGCAACACTGCGACAAAAAAAAAAAAAAAGTGGTATATTCCAACAGCTTCTTTTTAAACAGCTTAACGTATACCAGAGGCTTCGCACACGGCCTTTGTACCGCCCCAGCCAGAACACCGTTGGATCAGCCCATACTGCCGCACGCTGTACCTTCGACCGATTTAAGAATAAGCCACACCTGACGATATAACAATGTAAACTAACGCAGAGCACAGGAAAAGTCTCGCAACGCAGCTGTCCTGCGCCTTAACCCGAGTTATAACCCCGTACGCAGTTCCTGGTTTGAAGCAGTGCTCATAGTGATGCACGCAACTTTTCTCATGCAACGCACGCAATACACTCAGAAATACAGTACCATCTAGTGACTCAAATATCAGTCCTAATTTTTGTGCGCTAATGGCGGTCACAATCTAGTAACTATTCATCGAAGGCAGACGTATGAAAGGGTCTACGCTGTATCTTTCTTTCTTCTCTATTTGTTTTTCAGTTTTAATGGTGTCAAGGAACTATCACTCGGTACCAGGCGCTTACTTGAGTGAACCTCTCGATAATATTCAGCACTATTGTTGTCATGAGCTGTCTGCAGGTCGTGCCGAAGCCGAATATTTCCCTCAATGCGTAGCGCAGTGAAGCTTACAAATCTGCAGCGGAATAACGTCTGGAATGTTCAGGCTCCGCAACGGTGCCCGTCTTCAAATTCTTCCAAATACCGCTATCAAGAAGGCAGCCGTTAGCATGTACGGATAATATACACTTAGGTGACGATAGTTACAGAGGTAGACAGACAGAATTTCGGCAAGGGTCTATTTGCTCGTGCTTTTCCTATCGTTGCTTTTCTGTGGCCATTCTTTATGCTGCTTTTCTTGTACTGGCAGCATTTCTCTTTGAACGTGCTTACGATGGATCTCCCAGTGCCTAAAGCCTCGATCACACTGTTGATACAGCATACAAGGGACAGTCTGTAGACGCAGGGGCATGTTTCTTGCTTGTATGACGTCACATTGGTCATACAAACACTTCCATCGGACATATTCGAAGCATACGTAAGTATGAAGCGAAGATACTTCGAAGATGCGCAAGGCGTGCCTGGAGTTAACCCTGTCATCATTTCCGCAGCCAACACCGTGTCTTCTGTAGTGTGACTGCAGTGTGACTGCCGCTTTCAAGAGAGTTTAAAGGAATGTTTTAGCTCGGAGCGGGGATGCTCAAGAACGAACATCTTGCCGTTTCAATGATGTCGATCGTTTGGTGTGTGGTACCAAACGATCGACATCACTGGAACGGCAAGATGCTCGCTCTTGAGTTCAGTGAAATGTTCTTCTTCGGGCCGGCTCACGCATACATCGCAGCACAAAGTCAACACTAAGAACAGCACGGATGCAGCGCTGATCGGAACGTAACTCAACTCCGATGCAGCCTTCTATCAGCGCAGTGTCACTAATACAGTGCGAAGTCAGCGCTGCATTAGGAAGGTCAGTGCTATTTCCAGCGCTAACTAGCGGCACTGCGGGTAACGCTGTGGTGTATGTGGGAATAGGCGTTTAAACGAAATTACTTGGGAAAGGTAGCGTGTTTCAAATCGTTCCATTGAAAACGACAACTTTTTTTTTTCTGTCTTTTCAGCAGAGGGGCCCTGCTGAGCAGACTAACGGTCGGGCAGCATGAACCAGCTTGCAGAACCCTGCTCATCGTGCTTACAGCCTAAGTGATATCCTACATCTTATGGTCGGGGCCTCATACATGTTGCGATCGGTTCCCTAATAATTTAATGTACAACGAAAGATGAAGTTCTCGACATGTTCCGTGAACAGAAAACTGCTGCCGCTGAAGGCCCACTACTTTCTCTTCCTCGGTGGTGAGTGTCTGTTGTTGCCAGATTGACGTAGCATGTGGTCACGAGATGTGAACACGTCGTATAAAACAGCCTATTTATCCTGATTCGGGATAAACTGAGGGAATAATAAGACGTTGTTAAGCTGTCGTAGAAATTTTTAATTGAAGTGGCGCATTTAGTGTTAAAATTTATGCTGGAGCATATGTCTTTGTTCACCTTCGGTGTACGGTGGTGTCTGTAAAAAAAAAAAAAAAGATATGGCAGTGATTTTTACCTGTAGAGTTCTATAATGCAGGAAATACATGCTAGGGAATTCGTCAGGGAATTTTAGTGTCAGGTGACGTGCATTTTCCCGCTAAACTCAGCGAAGAAACCTAATGGTTGTATTGGTCAATTGACGCCGATTTCCCCAATTTAATTTAGCGGGGAGACTGGGCTGGTGCCTAGGTCACACAACGTGAATTTTCCCGCTAAATTTAGTGGGTATACCTGAATTGATGTATAGGTCACGGGACGTCAATTTCCCGCAGAATTTAGCGGGAAATTGAGTCGACGTATAGTTCACGTGGCGTCAATTTCCCCAAGGTGTATAGGTCCCGCGACGTCAGGCGACGTCACGTCACGCCGCTTTGTCCGCTAAATTTAGCGGAAAATGCAGGGACAGATGTACAAAACTTGGGGGTATACCGTTAAAAAGCATTTCATGCTTTAATAAATAGATAAATACATTAGGTCATCACGTGAAATGGAGCATAAGCTAAATCAGTGTCTGAAGTTCGACGACAGCGCGACAGTTATTTCGTTCGCGCAGCATTGCACCAATTTCCTAGACCACGAAATGTCGCAAGTTCAAAGGCCTTATGAGCCGATTTGTCGTCCGTAACTGTTCTATGCTGTTACATTGACACAAGGCTTGCGAGCATCCTGCCCCCTAAAACATTATTGTTTGGCTTGTTTGCAGCTCAAGCCGCCGTTATTCCCTACTTCGCCGCTGTTGGTCGTCAGAACGGCATCCCTGAGACAACCGTTGCCTACACATTTGGCTTCGTTCCCCTGGCCGCCATCGCCTGCAAGTCATTGTGCGGTTACATCGTTGACAGAACGCAAAATGTCACCGTGGTCTTGCTCACGCTTCAAGCTCTCTTATTAGTGTCGGACGGAGTGGTATTTTTTAGCGGAAGTATTCACACCAACACAGTACGGTCGGAAGGCATTCTGCAATGTTCGGAAGAAAACGTAACGCTCCTGGATCCCTTTACAACTTGTTCACTCCCACCACCACCGGAGTGCAAACGTCTTTGTCGCGAAAGCAAGGAGAACGGCTCTACTTCTAAACTCCGTGCCAATCTCAGCATAGGGAACGTGTCCGATGTCTGCAGTGTCCTGAGCTACTGGAACCACTCAGTCAGCAGCGATGATGACAACTGCGAGTTGACTTGTGCTTGTTACGAGAGCTCCACGAACAAGTCGAACCTGTGGTTATACACGGTGTTTTTAGCTTTGGCGTGGATGACCGGAGCAAGCGTGTTTGTAATTTCTGACGCTGCCGTCTGCGACGCGTTGGGAGACAACGCGAGCGCCTTTGGACGTCAACGTCTCTGGGGAACCATCAGCTGGGGCATTTGTTGCCCCATTGTCGGGATCATCATCGACGCAGCCAACAGGGCAACGGAGGGTCGTTCCGGCTTCACCCCCTCCTTCTACGTGTTCGCCGTTCTTTTAATGATGGATATGGTCCTTTTGTACCGGATGCCGAGGCTGAGGATGTGCAAGCAATCGCCCACTTTCTTCAGGGATGTGGCGACGGTCTTCAAGGGTGCAGAGATGCCAGTCTTCACTTTCTGGACCTGCGCGTTCGGTGTGTTTTTCGGCATCTTCGTGGCGTACAACACGTGGTTCTTGGAGGACGTCGGAGCGTCCAAGTTGAATGTCGGACTCACTTATGCAGTCATGACTCTTCTCGTGGAACTCCCCCTTCTTTTCGTTTCGAAAGGCATTCTCGAAAGGATAGGGTACTTCCCGTCGTATTCGCTTGCATTTGCGGCATATACCTTCAAATACCTCGGGTATTCCTTCCTTCAGAATCCATGGTACGCTTTAGTGATCGAGCTTGTCGGGGGAGCGGCCTTTCCACTGGCATTTGCCGCCATGACAGTCTTCGCCAAGGAAGCGGCTCCTCAGGGTACAGCAGCATCTGTGCTCTGCGTACTTAACGCCGGCGTTGAAGGTGTCGGTAAGTGTTTTTCTTTCACAGTTTGTTTTGAAGTTTAGAGGATAGTTATGCAATGTAAAACTGAAACTGAGGATTTTTTGTTTTTCATTTTGCCTTTGTTGCCACTTAGTAGGTTTTTAAACCATACTGAAAACACTGCGTTATAGGCCTAAGTACTTGGATTATATTTGCCAGCATAAGTACAGCCTCCGGCAATATGAAAGACCCACTCGGAGCGCGTGGCCGAGGCGTTGGCTGGCGGGGGCGCTGCGAGCGCTCTGGGCAGTTCCACTCTGCTTCGAAGGGGGCACGCTCCCTCGGGGCTCAGCTAAAGCGAAACGCGCTTATCAGTTTGTGCTGAGCCCCGAGTGAGCGTCCTCCCCTCGAAGCAGAATGGAATTACCCGGAGCGCTCGCAGCGCCCCCGCCAGCCACCGCCTTGGCCACGCGCTCCCAGTGGGTCTTTCATATTGCCGGAGACTGTACATTTTATATCGAACGTTTTATTTTTGTTCTATGAGTGGTCTTTACTGGTGAGTCGTAGAATATCCCGGTGCTGATGATAGAGCGAAGTTACCGCTGCTACATTGCACTGTCAGCGCGGGCTTACCGCTGAGTTACCGCTTCATTGTGTTTGTCAACAGGAAAAGGCCCGGTCTCAAGTAGCGGAGCGGTGATTCAGCACTAGAGAAGCTCGAAGTCAGCAATGTGTCTGTAGCGCTGTGTTAGCACTTATCATGCAGCTGTGCTCCAATCAAGAAAGGCCAAACACCAAATTTAAATCTGAATCGCATCGAATCCGGCGAAATTGTGACCCGGATTCTCTTTCCAGGCACGGTTTTGGGCAACGTTCTCGGCGGTGTAAGCTTCGGCAAAAACGGAGGCCGCCTCACATTTCGCTATATCGGATTTGCGAGCTTTGCGTGCGCTGTGCTGTGCACCCTGTCTCACGTCGTCATCAGGAGAAGAAGGCCAAAGACTTCAATTGTTCCTCAAGGTAAGTCAGAGCTCTTCGATGTTTCTTTGGTCTTGTTGCTCTTACTGTTTACACTCGAATGTGTTTTCCGCCTAGGTGCGAGCTCTAGCGCCCTTGACAAGTGAGAATAACTGCCGTGACATGTGTCAAATGTACCAATACTAGTTATCAACTTCCCTATTGTGCTTTCCCTCTAGTGTTTTTAATGTATATAAGCAATCACTATAAGGCTACTGAAATATCCTCTAGAACACCGAGGCACAGATAAATTCACTCCTGAAATTGCAGTCTGCTTTTAGTGAATGCCATTGAGATTTCCGGAATTTACCCAAGTCATACGTGCAAAAACAAGATGCATTTTAAAAGAGTCTGTACGCGAATATGACTTATGGTCAAACACTGTTTTCTTATTCATAAACTCCATGGTGTGAAGAGAGCCGACTTTGAGGTCCCGTCCTACTTTCGTTTATTATTCTTTAACCTGGTGGCGTTGCTCTTCTTTTTAATAGGTCAGTTTTCTCGTGCAGCGCTTGTCTCCAGCGCCGCGATGTCGACACTTCAATTTGCAATCTAGCCTCCGTGACAAACGCACACGTTAGCCAATTCCGGTGTCTGGCGGTTCATCCTATTACCTCATTCTAGGATGTTGACTCCAGTCTTTATGAGAAGGCCTTAATTGTGACGGTCGCCTCTAGGCGAATGATGTACAAAGTCATAAATGTTTGTTTGAAAGTAAACTGAGTTTCTTAATATGAAAATTACGAAATCCTGCTTTGCATGGACAAATCATAGAGGCAGTCAAAGCTAATGGGAAGAGCATGACAAAGCACCTCCTGAACGTCTCAAAGTAGCGACCGACGTTTCGCTAAGGAACTTGACCCTAAAAGTTCGGGCTCCACTTGGCCAAAATGTATAACATAGGACGTAGAATACATACGACAGTCACGTGGGTCACGTGCTTAGTGCCACTATAGGGGTTACGTGAACATGCTATATGACATGAGGCGCCGTGATGTCACATGTCAGGTCACGTGACGTGGTCACGTGGTTGGTGTCTGTCGTTGCTTACGTATCCATCCTTATATGTTGCAACGTATTCTGCGAAAAACGCTAATACCGGTGTTACACGGGCACCCTTAACCGCAGGAGGGAGAGCCTTTCCACAGTTGGCATGTATGTGCGAGGAACAACGGGGAGAGGGAGAGCAGTGCCTCTGCTGTCAGGGGGTTTCAGCGTTTGTACGTGAACACTTTTTGCCGGAAAGGGGCACTAATCCCTACCGCCGAAAAAACAACAACAAAAAACACATACTTTTAACACACGCATTTCACGTAGGGGCTTCAATATAGATGTATAGTAGAGTAAAACACAATAACTGTTTAACGAGGACTACATAAGTTTAATAACAAAGCTAACAAGGCGGACCGAAAGACGGGTTCCCTTTACGAGCACCAGGCGAAAACTCCCTCTCGGCGAGTTGTCTTCACGTAGGCGAGGGAGAATCCATTAAGACGCCTTGCTCTTGAACCGACAGTCCCCCGACGCTCGGTCACCGAGTTCTTCCACTCCGGAATCCGCTCCGCGGTGACGGATTTCACCCCTGCGGCAGCCGTCCGCTTGTGCGGTCTACGTCGCAGAACCGCCCGCGTCTGGAGCTGGTCTACCCGGGCCACATTAAAAACACTTTTATCTTAAAACAAATCTCAATCTTGATCGTTCTTTTTTTTTTTTTTTTAACGCGAAACTGGAACAATTTTAGCAATGCCTCAAGTTCATAAACGTGCGTAGGAAAGGTGGCTATCAACCGAATGCATGCGACATGTCTGCGACCATACATTGTGTGGGGACTGTTCTCATGCTTCATTTGCCCAAATATTGGCTGCGCAACGAACACTGTTGACGCCGCCATTTGCGCTCACTCTGACGGCAGTTTCTGTTTCAATTCATCTGACACTATACTCGCAGACAACTTTCAGTGGCATTTGGGTGGTAGGAAGAGGGCGCGTGCACAGTTTTGATGGCGCTCGAGATGCGCAAGGACACGTGTGCCCATAGGGAGTATTCACTGGCGGCCATATCTGTGTGCGTGGTTGCTGAGCGTGTACTGACGGCGAGCTTCTACAGTTCTTTTGCAACGTGCATTCCACACTATCAAGATTGCCGGTCTTAGCAGGCTGTTAGTGTAAGCTCGCCCTGAGCAGGCGCTCTAAACAGGACCCACAAATATGGCGTCCAGTGAATAGACCCTATAGCTTTGACGTACTGCATAGCCACAGAACTCTCTCGGGCCGAAAGTTTAGACTGGGTCTTGGTTTAGAAGCTCGAGCAAGTTGGCTTGCGAGTTCCGTGACCGGGTAAGTATAGAATAACACTGACTCCGCGGTTCTTTTTTTTTTTTTTATGTGTGTGCTTTATGTCCCCCTCTTTTTTTCACGTTTTATGGCACAGAGATGGGAAAAGCAACCACGGCGTTTGCTGCTGGGCTGTCTGGACACATGGATGGGCCTTCGAGAACCGCTGGTGTTGAACACATCCCTCTCTGATGACCACCTCCAAGCAGAAGACTGTCTCGAGACAACGGCGACATCATGGTCCAGGTTGTCAACCTGTGCAAATGGATTCGACTTTAAAGTTTATTTTGGGATTGAATATGCTTTTTTTAATGCGCGACCATTAGAACGCTCGTTCTGACGAAAACCCGGCGGTGTCTTTCGTTTGTGAGCACCAGGGAGAGAGCGAGAAGGAGGGGAAAAGGGTGACGCGTGCGACGCTCCCATTGGTTCGAAGCGCTGACGTCAGCACGCGTCAACCTCTTCCTTTGTCCCCGGCGCTGACAAACTGACAGATCGAGCCCCTTCGTTTTTGTCGAAGTCACGCGCCCAGCTGGCGCGAAGCCACAGAGGAGGACGCGCCGCGCAACACCTCCTAGATAACAAAGCCTTAGTGCTGAATGAGATGGTGTCATCAGAGATGACCAACGCTGGACACAGAATGGAAACGAGTGCTGACTTAGCACTCGACTTCGAGTCAAGTTTATAGCTGAACGTTGACGTAATCGTTGTGTAAAATCTGTGCCCAGCGTTGTCCTACTCTGATGATGCCACCTCATTCAGCACTACGGCTTTGTTATCTAGGAGGTGTTGCGCCGCGGCGCGGTGGAATGCGGGCGTGCTCAGTTGCCGCTATGCCGTCGCCGGTTCTTCGCTTTGGTTTTCGGTAGTAGCGGTGCGTGGACTGTGATATGTGTGTGTGCAGTTAAAACGATGGCTGCGGTTCACTCCACGAGCGATATGGATACGGTTCCTTTAACGAGTGGAGCAGATGTGGTTTTTTTCCATGAGTGGTATTGATGGCTGTATCCAAGGGCGTTGACGTTCTCTGACAGCCAGAGCATAGATAAGGGTTGAAAAATATTACACGAAGATCCATTGGTAGATTTTTAGGGAATGCCTTAGCGCGACCCCTAGGAAACGCCACACACGCCCCCCCCCCCCCCCTTTTCCCCCCGCTTTTTTTGGTGGGGGGGGGGGGGTAGAGGGGGGAACGCTAGCACTGACCTCATAAGGAGGCCAAAAAGAGGTAGCGAAAAGTAGAATGGATCTTCCTGCTTTTATTTTTTATTTTCTTTCTTAAAGCTATAGTTTTAAGGAGCTCGAGCCGCAGACGGCAGGCGTTGGTGTCAGTGGCGGGGATGTAAAAATCTTGATTGGTCGATAGGATCATGACGTCACAGCCACATGACCTCGCGCGGGAATTTCAAACAAGTCACAACGCTCACGTGAAACGTGACTTCACGCGTGGAATAAAAGTGGTTCACAATACGTGACATGTAATGTGAATTAAAGATCGGCGCATGTTTCAAATGATTTCACTTTATAAAATAATTATTTGCCTTGGAGAAAAAAAATCGAAGAATTTTAGGTGGAGGCGGAAGGAATGGAGGGTATCCTGTTATCGTACAAATTACGGCTTGCAGTCCCTTCGTTATAGGACGACACGCTGTTCACAAACAAGCCCGCGTTTGCCCGTACCAGGTGTGGGCACTGCGCGTGCGCGGAAACCGACTTCTCATGAAGTGAAACCTCTGCACATGCGCCGTACCGTCGACAGCGCCACCTCAGCTGCGTGACATCAGGGCCGCATGTTGGTCTATTAACTACCCGTATTACTCAATAAATATTCCACATATAATCTTGACATTCATAGTTTAGATCGTAAATTACTGCACCTTTTTTTTGTATAATATGCATTAAGTTATGTTAACTTTTTGAGCAAGCTTATTTTCGGCGTATTTGTTACCTTGATTTTGTTTTTCTTCTTGCATTTATCTCACCATCTTCCAAGCACTCGGGGCCCGGACCTAGTCAAGCCGACAAAGATTGGCTTTTTTGTTCGTGGCTCCGGCATCTGTACTTGCAGATGCAAATAAATGATAGGATTTGATTTGATTTGAACCGACGACCCTTCGGTTGCGAGCCAGACACGTTACTCATTAGGCCACGCAGACACTTTTTTTTTTACCTTTATTCGGAATACAGACACATACATTCATGTATTTACACATTATTTCCAATTTGAAACGAGGAAACCTTGTGCTTATGGGCGGGTGAGGATTAAAATCCTTTCATGCGTGTGAGGCTATTCGCTCTGCTCATACGCACTCTTTACCCGTGCAACATAATCGATAGAGAAAATACGCGCTGATCTGAGGAATTACTCCGCGTGTCTCACCGTCACCCCACCTTCCACAGGCTAAGCAACCCAAGAACCATAATCATGTCTAGCGGAAGATTCTCGTTTGCCCCGATGGGTAGAAAACGGATAAAATGTGGTGTTAAGCACAGGTCTTTTTTTTTTTTTTTTTTAGTTCGTCGCAGGATAAAAAAAAAAAAAAAAAAAAAAAACACTGCGTCCCAGCAGTACAGAAAACTATGTTCGATAGTTTCGGATACCTTGAAGACTGGGCAGGGGGTTAACACACCCTTAAACAATCATGCTTTGTTCGCCCATCCAAAGCTTGACAGTTAGGGTGCCACCATGTACTCGGAAGAAAAAAGGTTTTGGCTGACGGAGAAATACACATTTTCTTTCACACAAACTAGGACGTCTTGGCCTGGTTCACCCGCATAAAGGGATCTGTACAACGGTGCCGGAAACAAGTTATCGATAAGGTTGCAATACAATGTTTTGCGCGAAGCATTGGATAAACATTCGAGCGAGTACCTCACTGCCAAGAATTTAAAAGAATCAACCACTCCTCGAAGCCCACTAATTTAGCAGGAGGGCCAATGTCGGAAGAAACAAAAAAGGAAGGAATGTGTTCGACCAGCCTTGTTTGAAGCATCACCTGTATAAGTGGATTAGGCTGGTTTAGTAGAAAAAGAAAACGCAAGAGAACCTGACGGAGAAACATATGAGGCAGTCCGGGACCGCCTTTGGATGTGCGTCTAAAGAGATGCTCGTCGCATTGGTTCTCCTGCGCTCTTCCACACAAACAAGGCAAAAACTCGGTGAATTTTCTTTACGGCCAATCGGCGAACAGTCCTAAACTTAAAGCACGAACCATACTCTCTCAGTCAAAAACATATTACACACCATTGACCTTGTAAAAATAGACATGTCAAGTGAACTCCATCTTGCTGAGCGATCTTTTCAATCAGCCGTGACATTGTGCCTGTAAGTAGAAGGTTGTTTTAACTGTTGAAAGGGAGCACCAAGGTACCTGCTAGGCGCACAACTCCAAAAAACGCCTCCAAATTGGCGGGGCGTAGTGGCCCACTCGCCGTGCCATAATCCGTTGTTCATGTTAATCACGGCACCAGTATCGTCACAAAATGTTCTGCATAAATTGAAAGCATGCCCGAAGCTCTCCTTATCTGCACAATATACAATCCGCTACATCGTCCGCGTACGCGAGGACCTTTACTTCTGCGTTTCCCATGACATACCCGCGTACTAGTTAACTCTGCAATATACTTAGGCAGAGAGGCTTCAGGTACAAGACAAATATGAGTGGAGACAAGGGGAAGTCCTGCCATACCGAAGACGAAACTCGTAGTTTAGGGGTTAAAACATTGTTGACCACCCGTTTGGTCGGACATCATTAATACGCCATTCTTACATCCTCTACTACTATTTTTCCCACATTCGCGTGAGCCAAAATTTGCCAAAGAACATCGGGAAGTACGCGGTCAAATGATTCGTCTATATCGATCTGAATATCTGCAACCTGGTTCCCTTCCGACTTACAGCAGTCGAGTATAGTACGGTTGACATGAATGCTGCTTTAAATGGTCTTTCCTTCGATGTCGCATGCTTAGTGTGTTCCCGCCAATGTAGAAATAACGCTATGAAGTCTTTTAGTTAAAATCCTCGCATATGTTTTATAGTCCACATTGCAGAGTGTGATTGGACGGTATCCGCTAACGTGCTTTCGCTTCTCAACGTCGTCTGTCTTAATAATTGGGATGTGTGTATGTTTATACAGCCTAGAAGTTAGTCTGCCGCAACGGGCGACTTGTCTCCCAGCTGTAGGTGCGAAATTCAGCCAGTGCAGTACAACCCCTAGCTTGGTGTCTTTAAGATTCTGAACCGAAATCTGGGTTCCACAAAGCACACAGCAGCAAAAGCGTGCAACGGGATGCTACAAGCATCAAAACATCCCTCATACAACGATATATCGAACGGATGACCGTATTTTCCCCCCCCAAAAAAAAAGAGGGGGGGGGGGGGGCGGCGCATTTGACAGATATGTTCACGTCTTGTTTCTCTGAGAAGAGTCAAGAAAGAGAGGGAACGGCCTCGCGTCTTCTCCGCCTCGCCGCCTTGAGGGGGGCGAAACGAAGAGAGGAGGAAACGAGGCATCTTGACGTCACGCTCCTCGTCGGCCTCGTTCAATCTCGACCTTTTTTTTTTGTCCAAAATTAAGGCCGTCGATTCGAGATATTGCCTTACGAGTAGTGTTGTAGGGATTGTAGCGTCCCCGTCTACAGCTCCTGCATTGTTTTCTGAAATCCGAATTTTGGTTCACCATCTCTTTAACGCGCACCACTCAGTAGTGATTCACGACCGTACACCGGTACTGTCGTCTGTCTTGGAAATCAGCACTATCTGTATTTGAAAGGAACTTTGCAACGTTTTATTCTCGAAAGCTTCACGAATTACCTATAACATAAATGGGCGGAAATGATTTTTAAATTTCTTGTAAAACTCTCCGCTGAGACCGTCCGGTCCTGGCGTTTTGCGCATATATAGGCACAGTTTCAATCGCGCGCTTTACATCGCCTTCTGTGATTGGTCTTTCCAGTCATTCTTTCTCGTGTTGCGATAATTCTGGCGCTTTACAAAGCAAGTGTTCGAGAATACCTTGGCTTTTTGGCTCTTTATCGCCCACAAAGAAGCCCCGATAATGCCTCAAAAAGGTGTCCTGAATTACAACCTTTTCATTGCTGATGACTCCTTCGTGATCAATGACTGAAATTTGCTTCGCAAGCGCGAACATTTTTTTCCTCGCCCAAAGCGCACCTTGTGGGCTGTCCCCCTA